GCTCGAGCTGCAGAAAGGGGACTTCATGGATCTGCACATTCTAAAGGAGGACTAATAGCTAAGCCATTTTAAGGCAGGAAGGAATCATTTAATGGAAATACTGTCTAAGAGATGAGCTTTTAGGGGTTTAATCGACAACTGGGGAGGGAATATAAGTTCATGAGAAGTCTGTCTGAAGCACGTCTGGTTTTCAGGTAAAAGATTTGTGGTTTTCACACGACAGGTGGATAGTCGAGAGAGACGATTTAATCTATGTGAAACAAACAAACTAATAAAAAGGTTCAAAAAATGAAAATACTCTGATGCATTCACGGTACCGAGGAGCAAATTAAAAAGTCAGAAATGCGTTTTAAATTAAGTGCAGATCCCTGAGGTTCCAAATGTACCAGAGAAGCTGAGCTGAATGTTGATAATTTATATAAAATGATGCACGAGAAGAACAGAGCATTTAAATAATGTGTGTTGATGACAAGTTAATGCAGAACACTGAATCCAAAACAGAAAACATAAGTTGAAAAATATAAAAAGAGAAAAAGCATAAAAGTAATTCTCTCATCTTATGGATTTAATAAAACGGTTTGAGCAAGTTGATATTGTCAGACGATGAGGGATTCAATAACTTTAACAACCTCAAAGCTTTTTAAATAAGAAAACTGGTGAGAGGCTCATCCTTCACCACAATCAGAACTCCATCAGAAGTGGATATATACTAAATATTTGTGTTCCCCGCGCTATGTAAGCTCTGGAGCGCTTTACAGGTTTCACTTCTTTTTTTTGCCCCATTAGCAGCTTGTAGCCCTCATCGCATGTCACCGTCGGTTACAATCTCCACAGAAGTCCCTGAAATACAAGTATATGTTGTGAGGAGTTCATTACAGGAATCTGAATGTAAAGACGGAGCTTCTCTGGCCTCGGGCGGCTCTCTATCAACAGCTGGAATTCCACCGAGCTGCAGAGCACGAAGAGCTGCAGGAAACTGGAGATGCCCTGGAAGTGTGGGAGAGGTGTTCGCAAAGCGACCAGGCCTTTGTGGCCGTCTTAGGAATGTTCCGGCATCAACACTTTTAAAGGCTCTTTGATGTCCACGGCAGTTTTTTTTTTTTTCTTCTCACCACCCCTGTGACAAATGCATGAGCCTGAGGACGGGTGTATATGAACATACTGCACGGACGCGCAAAGTTAAATTATTCGTTTTTCAACTATAAATGCATCTTGATTTTTATGCTGTCTACTTTCTCCTCCTTCATCACTGCCCTTGTAACTTCTCTACATCTTGTCTGCAAACTGATTTTACATTCAGCATGACATAAATATAAGCATTGTTGATTCACCTTAGGTTGGAAAGAAGTTAAGGTATGAGCACGACAGCATCCCAGTAGTTTGGCAACAGAAGCACAAATCCAGCTGAGATTGAGTGCAGGCTGCCCTCTGTGTCCATGCAGAGGGACTGATTGGGAAATCAGCCATGCAGACAGGTGAGTAATGAGGGGAGGAAACTCAGTCAGGACAGTTAGAGAGAAGCCAACACTGGAGATGGGAAGAGAGGAGAAGACAGTCAAGATCCACCTTGAAGAGATGAAACTATGGATGCACGATATATCGGCGACCACATCAGTATCGGCCGATATCAGTGTTTTTAAAGATATTTTTTGGCTGTTTTTGGATTAAATAGGACAGAGAGAGAGAGAATGGGGAAACTGGGAAGAGAAGAATGGGGGAAGAACCTGCAGCAAAGGGTCATGAGCAGGACTCAAACCCATGACCACTGCGTCGGGGACTGTAGCCCCTATACGTGGGACACCAGCCTAACCAGGTGAGCTATAGCGGCGCCCCGATATCAGTGTTTTTTCCCATATATCTGTATTGATCCGATGAACAAATGTAGCCGATGATTGTCTAACATCAGCGCCTTCGTCTCTACATTCGATATTGCTACTATTTCACAGATGTTTCTACTTAAATGTTCCTGGACTTGGACTTTAAATATGTTAAAATATGTTTTACTTTTGTAATAAAGAAGACTATGTGGTCTAATTTGGGCTCCTTCTGAATAGTTTTCATGTTCTCACACTTACACTCGTTTTCGGTGTGAACAAAAATTGAATGTCAGTTATCGCCGATATCAGAAATCTTAATATCGGCCACGAATTTTAATATCATGCATCACTGGGTGAAACATCGCTGGAACCCTCCAAGGACAACATTGGCGTCCACCAGCTTGGCCACTGGTACCAGTTCATACTGGTTACAGTGACATTACTTTTACATACATTTCTAGAATTATTATTTAACTTTACCCCGCTCTACGGACCAGTTTAGCACCTTGCAGCTCATTGTTTTGATTGCACAACTTTAAACTGGATTCAGACTACACTATACTGAAAACCTGATTAAGTTGCACTGAGCCCAGGTACTCAGGTACTCAAGTAAAAAGGTGTTCAATTACTACAAAGTCAACAACATCCTTCAAGATGGATGCTCAGAAAAGAATAAAAAGAAAACAAATGTTAACTTTGTGACCAATTAAAACCAATGGATGCTGTTTTATTTTCTGCTATTGGGCTCAATTAATCAATCAGTTAATAAACGTGTAAATAAAAGTGGGTAGTATTCAATTTATGTTTCTGGAAACTCACCAGAACCTGAGAGTCTTTAACTAAGAAGCAACAGAAAGTGAATCCTCTCTATGTGTCCAGCTTTGGCATCAGGTGACGGTTAAAGATCTCAACTTCTGCTATAAAAACGTGGTCTGCATCTACCTGGAGGACGAACCAAAGTCCCCGGTGATATTCTAGCTGGTTCCCTACAGGACACAGGAGTCTCTTCTGCCCTGAGACGCTTCACTGAGGCCTTCGTGATGCACAACCAGAGCTTCACACAACTTCAGCTCCTGATTCCTGAAAGCAGCACAGTTGGGAAACAGTTTCTTCAAACATGCCTGAAGGCAGCTGAGCAAAACTCTGTAAAACATTATCTGAAATCAGTACAAATGCAGCAAAGAAGATGGTTATGTCACGTTTATTGTTTTAACAGTGTGAACGGCGTACAAAAATATAAGCACCCTTGTGTTTGGGCTGCAGTCCTGAGCGGCTCCATGCTGCGGTAGAAGCAGCGGTTTTGACACCCGGTCTCTTGGCGTATGTTCAGATTTCCACAGTAACGCGTCGATGCGATGCGGCCTCTCAATGCAGGTCAGCTGCGGAAATAATCACTCTTTTAAAAGCAGTTACAGGTTAAAGAACCACCACCGAACGGATCCAGAGCTCGACGGATCTCTGTCGTCAGCGCCACAGAGCTCCACTGATGTCCAGAAACTACTCACATCAAGCGTTATCTCGATTCAGTCCCACACACGATGCTGCTGCTACAATACACCACACGTGAATAAATGAGTGGTCCTTTTAAAGATGTTCAGTAGAAGCGAAGGAACTTGGAACCGAGCGCTAAGACCAGACAGGGACTAAAGCGATGCTGACTTTCTTTTCTCCATCACCATATTTATGACACATGCTGATGGTGTCCAGCTTCCCTTAAAACTGTCAAAATGCTTTTCTTGAACAAGTTCGATCAAAGCCTGCATGTCTGGTGCCTCAAACTAGTGTTAGCACAAGTAATTCTTAAACCTAATGCCACAAGCTGTATAAATGATTTATTAACTCTTTTCTTGTGTGCTTTGCTGAAAAGAACAAACATGCTGGGAGTGAATTTTCATCATCAATAACAGCTTTCAGTCAGAGTTACCAAACAATCGGGAAAAAAAAAAAGTTAGATTTATTTTTTTTACCTCTTAAGTGGATTGTACATCATCTCTCTTGAGTCTTTTTAGTGTTTTATAGTTATTTTGAAGCTCCTACTATTAAATTGGGACTATAAATCCAAAAAAATGCAGCATAAATAATCACTTAACAAAAAAAATCCCAAAACGTTGCAGCTTTAAATGCATATGTTCTCATCAGTGACTTCATGATTTGTCCGTTATTTGCTGCTGCTGCACCCACAAACGTCCCTTTACATTGTGGTTGATTTGTAGCAGAGACTTTCTTACACCTTCTACCAGATTATTAGCAGAAACCCAGTGTTACAATAGTTCTACAAAATAAATTCTTGGTGGACTAAATATTGTACCTACTCTTTAATCAATTGGTCGC